CTTGGTGTCAATATATAAAATACTATAGCATTACAAGTACGTATACTTATTTATGCAGCATTTATATAATAAAAAAATTATGAATTTAATAATGTATTATCCAAATATTTATTTTAACAATCGCAAATTTGTATCAATTGTCGACAATGTTGTTCTTCAATCATCTCCCAACCCCCTGGGACCCCTATTGATAATCACGAGAATTTATCCACGGTCGGCTGTCTTTAGTAGCATCTCATTGGTACATATAGTATTATACATTATGAGTATACAAACACATAAACATATCAAATAATGGATTTCTTTATAGAACATATTCACGAAGTGTCTGAAGATGATTATGGATACTGGCTTACTAAAAAGAGTACAGAAAAAGGAAATGCTACATTTTTTTCTGTAAAATGGATTACAGGTAAAAGCAGATACATAATGAAAGAAAATGTACCATATGTTTAAAGAAAAAATCTAACATAATCTTCATATCACGTGGATATGTTGCTTCAAAGTTACGTACAGAAGTTAAAATATGAGAGATGTTCTATTTGCAGGAACACTTATCATCGGTATTATCAACGATAAATAATACCATAAATCAGGTATGACTTATATTCTTACCAGACTTGCACAATATATTACTGTAGATTTAAAATTTTATTCATACAAATCTGTAAATAAATATCTATTTTTAACATAATTTTTTTGTTACAGATAAAGGGTTTCAATTTAAGAATATCCCTATCTACGTCTTGACAAGAGCGCGATGTAAAGTTATTTAAACTGCCCAATTTTTTATCTCTCCTAAATAGTTAATAGCCATGACATACAAGTCACCAAAACTTCACAGAATTGGTATTTGGGATCAATAAGAGATCGTATCATGTAACCAGTTTGCCATTCTCTTTCCATTCTCTAGTGTAGAACTGTCATAATGGATAAAAGTCATTATACTACGTCACTATATTAAGCTTACTCAACACTTCACGACAGCAAATCAGAAGCATCAGTGACTATGTTTAGCAGTAAAAACTGATCAGAATATCTTAAGATATTAAGGATGATATTAAGGTTCCATGATAGTCGGCATTTCAGAAAACGGAATTTTAAAAGAATAAACTGGATATAATATATATCCAAAATAAAAAATAGATGACGAGAATAAATTTTATTTTCAATTCACTAATCGACGCTCACAATCAGTCTGCATGAGGATCCGAACTAACATAACCAGAGTTTGCTTTCCAGTAAGGACACAATTCAGAATTGGTAAAGAACTATATTTTTTTTTTTATTATTTTAAAGAATAAGACATATTGTATTTCTTCTTAAATATATTTTTAATGCTTCAAACATGCTTTAAACAGTGCTGTAAAAAAAACATTTAAAACATTAAAAGTTTCTTCAAAGTCCTTCGTTTTCTTCCTTTTCATGAAATAAAGAATGCTGATTGGTTGGATTTCTTAAGCTTAGGGCCTGCGCACAATGAAACAAATATTAGGAACAGGAATAAATATTAAGATTTCAACCTATCAGAAACCGCGTGTTCCGATGTAACTGGTATCTGATAGGTTAAAATCTTAATATTTATTCCTATTCCTAATATTTCGTCTATTG